GCCACCGCTCTGGTTGGCGAGAACGATATCAGCACCTCATACAGGACTGGCGATGTCTGGAAGGGGTACGGACTGGTGCGCAAGCCGCAGCAATCACATGAGTACACACAGGTAGGCATGAATTGCGGAAGATATAGTACGTAGACATGCATACGCAAACACGTACCTATGTGTAGGTACACGCTCCCATGCATATGTACGAACATACATACACACATACACATACGTACGTACGTACGTACATACGTACAAACAAACAGGTACGTACATACTTACACACACATACTCGGACCTACATGCATGCATGTGTGCATGATGTATGCACATATGTCTGTGTTTGTGTCCGTATGCATGTATGTATGTATGTATGTACGTACGTATGTATGTGTGTGTATGTGTGCATGTATTCATGCATGTATGATGCACGCATGTTTGCATGTGCACATGCATGTGTCTTTAAGGCTATCATCAATGTGCTAAGTATGTGTGGGTATGCATGTGACCGGCATGTATGTGTGGGCGTGCGCATGTGCATGTGTTTGCGCATGTTTGCGTATGCATGTATATGTGTCTGTGCGTGTATGTACGTATGCATGCATGCGGGAATATATGTGTAGATATAAGCACATCCGTGACTCATTTATGCATGCATGCATGCATGCGTGTGCGAGCATGTGCGTGTGGATGTATGTGGTGTGCGTATGTATGTATGCACGTATGTATGTATGCATGCATGCCTGCACTTCGTCTGTGCATTTGTGTGTGTGTGTAAGTATGTGCAGGCATGAGTAAGTAGATGTAGGTGTGAGAGAGAGCGAGAGAGAGAATGTGTGGGTGCTTTTCCTGGGTGTGCATATGCCCGGGTATGTGTGCTTGGCATACATGCAAGCATTCAAGCATGCATGCAGGCATGCATGCATGCGTGAATGAATGAATGAATGAATGAATGAATGGATGGCTGGATCGATGGGCATGGACGATGGATGGATGGATGGACGGACGGACGGACGGATGGATGGATGTGTGTATGTGCGTGTGGTAGGCATCTGTGAGCATGTGCATGTGGTCATGTATGCATGCATGCATGCATGCATGCATGGATGGATGGATGGATGGATGTTTTTTGGGACCATTATAGGTATATACACGTACTTATGCATATACATGCACCAACACATACTTCTCAACCTCTCTATATAAGTATATTTTACAATTTTTCTCCACCATTGCCTTGCCAAGACACCTGCCCTGATGCTCCTGAAAGGCGGGTCGTCAGAGCAAGCCGTGCACCTGCTTCCAGGGCACCAGGGCCCGGCTCCCCACCATGTGCTGTGTCTTAGCATCAGCGCAATGTACTTCCACTAGCATCCCGAAGAACCGAGGCATCTCATCTCTACGAACTGCCAAGCCTCTGGCTCTACGCCCTGGGCACTTTGATAATATAATATGATATGATATAATATAATATGCACAACTGCATCGAAAGCTCTTTTGGTGTGAGGCTAGCAGGCCCAAGAGCCCACAATGGGCATCACCTGAAACCCTAGCAACCCCAAACTGGAAAAAAAACACGTCAGCCTTGCCCCGGCCTAAGAGCTCGGGCGGCTCAGCGAAAGTGGCCCGCCCCGCATCGCCGTAGAAGAACGAGAGCCCGTTTCTTGGTCGCAAACAACTAGAGAGGGCTTCGACTCGCACAATCGCACAATGCAGACATGAATTCCGGCGCGACGACGACTGACATGAAAAAGTCAACAAGACGGAAGACAATCTAAGAACGCATAGACGCGTAAGACCTATACGGATACGATAAACTCACCCAATAATCAACAAGCATGCCGTCCGTCTTGCAGCCTACAAGAGCCACTGCAATCCTCTCAACGAAGACATCGGCCCCAGGAGAAAGTTCGGGCGCGTGCGGCCCTCTTCGGTGCAAACCCGAAAAACTGAATCTCCACTAAAGATTTTTCGTGCGTGCACCGCCATTGCAGCCACTCCAGCGAACTCCGAGAGATCCGGGGGCATTTTGGAATCTTGGCATTGGTAACCCGAGCACTCAATCAAACAACCTACTCCTGTGCTGCCTCTGCCACCGGATCCACAGTGTCGGATGTTCGTATGTACAAGCGGAGCCATGGGACGATTCTGCGGTTGCATGCGCCTGAATGGCAGTGGTGGAAGTCCTGTTCAAGGCTTGGCAGGCTCGCTCTGGAGTCCGTCGCGTTGAGCCGCCTTCCGGCTTTTGCGGCTTGCCGAAGCCGAGCGCGCGCCGCTCGGTACCACGGGTTCGTAGGCTTGGATGGAGCTCCGGCGCCAGGCTATTCCACGACCTCGTGGTCGGCTTCGTCCCCACCTCCAAACATCCGCTGGAAGAAGCCCATCTGCTTTTGCGACTTGAGGGCTTCCGCCTTCTCCTCCGGAGTCCGGTAGTGCGGCTTCGTCGAGTGGAAGCGGCCCCATGGCAAGCCATCCTTGGTCAGCGTCGTCGACGCATCCAGGGAGCTCCGATGAACCTCCCCAACAAGCATGTCTCGACGGGGGGTGCCAAGGCCGCGAGGGCGGACTGGCATGCCAGCGTGCACCTTTCCCTGATACACCCGCTGCGATCCCGCCGCGCTGCTGGCAGCGGCCGTTTCGGGGGCCTCGGGGACAGGGACGGCCAGCTCCTCGGGCTCTGCCTGCACCTCACGGGCCTGTGTGGCCTTGGTCGGCTCCTTCTTGATGAAGACGCTCATGAGGGCACCCTCTGCCATGGGTGCGGCAGCTCGCCCCAGCTTCACCTCGATGTCCTCGTCTTGCGAGTCGTCGGACTCCACAGCTACGGCGTCCTTCTTGTCACTTTCCGTGATGGCTCGGAGCCGCTGCTTCGCCAAGGTAGCCTTGGCCTGTTCCCTTATCTTCTCCTTTTTCAGTGCCTCGTTGTCCACGTCCAGTGCATCCCAGTCCAGCAGCTGCGCGTTGCTCGCTTGGCTGCGGGAAGAGTCTGCCCTTGGTGATGGGGGCTCTGAGCCAGGTCCGATCCACTTGTCCACCTCGTGGTCTTCGTGTATTTCGGCGCCAACTTTGAGGCCAGCAGCCCTCTGCTGAGCGCGCTTTAGCAGCTCTGCGTCCATGGGCTCGCCCTCCTTGGGACCTGCCATGCCCCCTCGGCGCTTGAGGCCAGCGCCCTCCCTGGCAATGTTTGGAGCCTCGTCCAGCTCGGGAGGCAGGCGCAGCGCCACGTCGTCGAACTTGGCGTTCCGAGCCGCCGCCGCCGCCTCAAGGGCAGCCAGGTCAAAAGCTGCTTCTGACGCCTGATCCTCCGGAGGCGGCGGAGGACCAGTCTCGTCCTCATTTTCCACCGCCTCCTCTTCCTCCTCCATGGCGGGGCGTCCGTCAGCGTCGCTGGAAAAGCCTGGCATTCTGAAAGCCTCCAGTGCTTCCGGCGTGAAGCCCAGCTCGAGGAGCACCGACTCGGGGGCTCCCAGCGCGACGCCGTCCACGACGATGGTCTTGGGCCGGTAGGCCTCCTTCATGCGACGATATCGCTCGTCGTCTGCTCTTTTCCTCTGCACTTGCTCTTCTTTCTTGACTTCCCTTTGCTCACCTGATTCGGCAGTTTGTTCCATCTTGGCTTGCTGCTTTCGCTTGCGATCCAGCTGTCGCTCGAGCATCCTCTGCTCTTCGCTTTGCACCTTGTGCGACATGCCCCAGTCGTCTGTCGCGGTCGCACGCTCCTGGACTTGGGTCTCCAAGTTCTTCACCTCCCGCTTCATCTGCAAGATGCTCTCCAACTGCTTCATCTTCTTCGCATCCATGCGCTCGGGCGCATTCACGCGGAAGAGATTCAGCGTCCGGGGACTGGCCAGGATCGGACAGAGCGTGCAGAGGCAAAGCAAACCACAGATGCCAACACCCAGGCCTGAATCGTCGTTTTTGGGGGCCCTTAGAAGTATTTAAATGAACAGCCCACCTCTTCTTAGAACCATAAACCATGAAACGGAGCCTAAAAAGCCTCCCAAAGTGCCCACCCAGAGGCAGATGGAGACCAAAACCGGAAGGCTGATCCCGAAGCGGCTCGCAAAGTCCTCCTCGGCCTCCTGCTGCCCCGGAGGCCCGGTGGTTACAACGAGGCCCAGGGCCATGGCTTCCAGAGGAGGCTTTAGGGTGGAGGGTTGAGAGGGTAGAGGGTTTAGGGTGTGTTTTTTTGTGCCTCCCGCCTAGCTGGGACGAGCCCCCATTGCAGGTTTAGGGTTGAGGATTTAGGGTTCAGGGTTTAGGGTTCAGAGTTTGGGGTATAGGTCGGTCAAAGGGTTTAGGGCTAGAGGTGCCTAACAATGCTTTTGCATATAAAGCCACTTTTACGCACAAGCGTATGGTAGCCGTGTGTGCCGCGGTAGAAGTAATACAAGGACAGAAACAAAAGTGGGCAGATAGATCGAGAGTGAGATGAACGAATGGACAGCTAGCTAGCTAGCTAGCCAGCTAGCTAGCTAGCTAGCTAGATAGCTGGCTAGCTAGCTAGCTAGCTGGCTAGCTGGCTAGACCGATAGATAGATAGATGGATAGATGGATAGATAGATAGATTGGATAAATGCGATTCCGCTTCGTGCACGCCGTTCCCAGTGCCGAGTGTAAGGCTGGGACCAAGCGCAGCTTGTTTCTCTTTCAAAGCTGGTCCGAGGCATTGTGCATGCGGCCTCTTGAAAATGGTGTGCTGGCAAGAGACAGAAACCCTGGCCTAGACCAGCAGTACATTTCAGGAATGCCCATAGCTACTGTCTATGCTAAGTGTATCTGCCCCATCCAGCAGATCAGCTAAACTCCAGCTCAGCTGACAGTGAAGCAGCCCTGCACTGCTGACGAATCGATGTCAAAATTGGCTCGTTCTCTCCATCTTCTGCCACCTTCAAGCACAATCGAAATCATCTAAGTTTCAGGAAGATGCAATGTGAAACCAAACATGGACAAAGCACCATGTAACATGTATTGAATGTTAATGTTTTACATGCACTAAATTACGAAGCATGAAGCCACGATCTGTCTCTGATCTCGCGAGCATTTTGGCAGACAACTTACCTTGAAGCTGCCTGCGCTCTGCTCTCAGGTGGCAGGGGGAAATAGGCGGGAGACCGAGCCGTCAGAGGGGCCTTGGGGCCCTCAGGCGCTTAGGCCATCCAAACTGGCTTGCGCCAAGTCTCCCCGGCATAGGCGCACTTGTCACCAAGCTCCTCTTCGATGCGCATGAGCTGATTGTACTTCGCGTTGCGGTCGGAGCGGCAGGGCGCACCAGTCTTGATCTGACCGGTGCAGAGACCCACTGCCAAGTCGGCAATCGTCGTGTCCTCCGTCTCTCCGGAGCGGTGAGAGCACATCACACCCCATCCGTTCACCTTGCAAAGCTTCACGGCGTCGATGGACTCGGACACTGTGCCGATCTGGTTCACCTTCAAAAGCAAAGCGTTGCAGGCCTTATCATCGATGGCCTTCTTGACGCGAGTGACATTGGTGACGGTCAAGTCGTCTCCGACCACCTGCGTGGGTCCACCCACTTTCTCGGTGAAGGCCGTCCATGCCGCCCAGTCGTCTTGATCAAAAGGGTCCTCGATGGTGATCAATGGGTAGTTCTTGCAGAGGTCGGCATAGAAGTCGGCGAGCTGCACCCCGGTCATCTTGAGATCCGGGGTCTTCTCCGCCTCGGCGTACCAAGTTCCGAGGTCGTAGCAGTCTGCTCCCTCCACCTTGAACTCGGATGCTGCCACGTCCATTCCAATCTTGCACTTGTCCTTGTACCCGGCCTTCTCGATGGCCTCCATGATGAGCTCCACACCCTGCTTGGCATCGCAGGGGGGCGCGAAACCACCCTCATCTCCAATAAGGGTTGCATCGCCACCGAACTTTTTCTTGATGATGCCCTTCAGGGTGTGATAGCACTCCGATCCGATGCGCATGGCGTCCTTGAAGGAGGATGCTCCAACCGGGATGATGAAGTACTCCTGGAAGGCCAGCTTGTTGCCTGCATGGGAGCCGCCATTGATCACGTTGAAGCAGGGCACCGGCAAAGTGAGCTTGGAACCGTTGCCGGCCAGCTCCGCAAAGTGCTGGTACAAAGGGATGCCCTTGGCCTGTGCGGCGGCCTTGGCCGCAGCCATGGAGACGCCCAAGATGGCGTTGGCGCCAAGCTTGCTCTTGTTGGGCGTGCCATCCAGCGCAATCATCTTGTCATCCAGCTCCTTCTGCTTGGAAACATCGAAGCCCTTCAGCTCCGTGCTGAGAACGGTATTCACCGACTCCACGGCCTTCAGGACGCCCTTCCCCAAGTAACGCGTCTTGTCACCATCGCGAAGCTCACAGGCCTCATGCACACCCGTGGAGGCGCCACTGGGCACTGCGGCAGTGACGGTGACGCCGCCCTCGGTGGTGAGATCCACCTCCACCGTGGGGTTACCACGCGAGTCAAGGATCTCACGGCCCGTCAGCGTCTTGATCTTGAAGAGGCCGGCAGAGACTGCCTCGATCGCCTTGGAAAGGTCGCTGGCACCCGTTGCTTTCAACGCCTCGAGGACAGCCTTGGCCATGGCTACGAGTCGGAGCGAAAACCTGAGAGCTTTTGTGACTGCGTCGCTTGAGCCCATTCGCCCACGCGCAGGCATTCACAAACCTCGTCAAATGAGCCCGAGGAATTGCGATGGCACAAGCAGGGGCACCGAGCCCTTTCGGACACTCCTGTCGGATTGGAAGTACTTGCAAAAGCCGCCAGGAACAGGAGAAACACTGCTGTCAAGTTACTCGTTGGGTGCCCAGCACACCTGAGAGCAGCTCTCGATGCCCAACTGACGCTTGTTGCATCCCTACGTTGGGGCCTTCAAGTCCGCCACAACCCCGTTTGCTCTGAACTCCTCCTGCGAGTTCATCACATTGCTTCGATACCACCTCAGCCCAAATCAGAAGAAACACATTGTGTCTGCCTGGCCTGTCTTTGGCGAGCCTCCGCCATTTCGACAGTGCTTTTCATGTGCCCACGCTGGCGGTATAAGTTGCAGCCGAGATGCTGCAGCTGATTGCTGGCCAGCTCGATGACTGGCTTCTCCACGTCCTGAAGCGAGCGCATCCATGCTACACTGATCTACACTGTGCTTTCTTGACTGCTTTGAAGCACAGCATCACCTGATGTACGCATGCCTTGCCTCCGGCCACCCCACTGGTATTCGTACCTGGAACATCTGGAACGCACAAAAGGCATCCGAAGCAGGCGCCAACATGACCTCGATCTCACCTCCACAGCTCTGTAACCCTCCATTGGCCTTCGATGTTGCGGACAGGCCATTCTCATTGGCGGTCAGCAGCTGGACGTAATGCCAGTGCCGTAGAAAGTTCGTGCCATCATCCTGGTGCGAGGAGTTTGGATGCTGAACCCGTTTGACATGGTCCTTTACAGCATCGCATGGAAAAGCTTGGTATGCTCCTGGAACTGGCCCATCCCTGTCAGGGCCATAGCATGGAATCTTTCCGTGTCTGTCATGGCCTTGGCTCGCGACCCCTTTAGAGTTTGAAGGTCTCCGTCCGAGCTGGCATGCGGATGTCATGGAGAATTGCTGTCCGGAAATAGAGCAACTGACATCTGCACGCGGCTGCAGCTCCAGCCCCCTAGCCGCTCCCCCTTTGACCCAAGAGCGAGTGGCAGCGAGACCTCGGCCGTCGACGAGAATGCTGTTCGGCTCGATGTAGATTGCCTAGCTCACAGGTTGGCAGCAGAACCAATCTGCGTAGGCTGGCTCCAAACACGCCTTGCCGAAGTCTGAAGTCCGAAGTTCTATCTGCGCCAAGCCCAAATGCATCGCCATCTCGCAGGAGGCCCGTCACGGGGCTGGAGAACGTCAGCACGCTGCTGTGTGGCCCCTCGATCAACCTCAATTCAAGGTTTCGAAGATGAGCTCTCAGAACTGCATGGCTTCAAGTCGTCAGCGTAAGTCCCGCGTGCTGTCCCGTACGATTGCCATCACCACCAGTCGCCGGGAAATGGCGCAGAAGCAGCAGACTGCAAAAATAGCAAAGGGTTGCTCTCTGCCCAGGTGCCAGTGCACGATGTGTACTCCGGTCCGGAGGTTGTCAGAAAGCTGCCTAGGAGCAAGTTTGTATTCTTTCCCACCCGCTCAGCTGACCACGTCGCACTGCGAACTCGCTAGAGCAGCTTTCGGCTGAATTCCTATGTCCATGCCAAAATGCACAGGCAACATTTCGTCCACCGATGACGGCTCACAAACCTTGGAGGAATTGACGCCATAGGGGCATCCGACCTGAAAAAGACGGGCGACTTCGAAGTCACTTTCGCACACGGCCTTCACCAACCCTGGCCGCCTTGACGGCAGTGGTACCCTCTGGATTCCACGCACTTCCGGGCACGTCGCTCCCATCCTAAATAGAGGCCGGCAGATTCACCGAGACAAAGACAATAGGCTGTGGTTTACTGTAGGGCTTAGGGCTTGGACTCTCGCAACTCGGAGGATTTGGGTTGAGGGTTCATCTTATGCCTAAATGTCATACTGGCTATCACCAAAGTCCGCCTGAGTTACGACATCATGCAGGGATATGCCACACTGCCAAAGAGCAAGGCTGTGATAGCAGCACGTCCTAGTGCTACAATTTAGTGCTTCATTACATCATATTCTATTCTATTCTATTCTCTTCTGTTGTAGCATATCAGATTATTATAATATACGGCATATTATGGTGGAATACAACATAATAGTATACAATAAAAATATGTTACATTTTTTGCAGGAATAATGACTGTAACTATGCATGGCCTTATTCCACAATAACCTACAAATGTTCTGATAGCCTCGTCGTAGTACTGTCTTCCTGTCTTGCCAGGTGTTTGGCATGGTGCGGTGCTACCATGTGCTTTCCTATAGCCGTGTGCTGCAAAGGTCCCACCATTGCTCGACTTCGTAAAACCGTCTGAATGTGTCGCTGTCTTCTACATTTATGCAAAGATGGCTTAATATGAATATGAACTCTCGGAAAAACTGCACAACCGAATCGCACATGTCCCAGCCACCAAAGACCCGGAAAGCTTCGGACATCCCGACTGCACCCCGAAGGTTTCGAGGAGCCAGGCGGCGCAAAGTGCGCTTGAGGTGACCAGGCGCAGGTTGTCTGTGACCTTGAAGCCCCAGCCTCTTCAGGCGATCGCTTTTTGCAGGAGGTTTTTCCTGCAGGCGGCTCACCTGGTAGACATTGCTATGGCCTGTTGGCCCCTGCATGCGACGAACTTGCATTCGCCGGTTGGCCTGCAATGTCCTGCAGGCCGACGAGAAGTCTGGTCGGAAACACCCAAGCCTGAGGGCAGCAGCATCAGCATTTTGCGGCTTCGTGACTTGACACGTGCTGTATCGTGCTATGTCCTTCTCTGACCCTGAACACTCAGAAAAACGTCAACCGCCCAAACCCGTCGTGCCATTATCCTTCATTATACACGATTACTGCTAGTATTATTAATACTATGATTGTGATACTCACAATTATTGTTGTGATACTACCATTAGTATTATCATTATTGTTACTGTTGTTATTATTGATATTAGTATGATTGTTATTAGTATTATTATTATTACTATTATTATTGCTATTATTATTATTACGGCTGTGCCTAGTACCATGACACTTACAATTACAACTACAAATGACTTCTTACTACATTTATGGTTATTATTAGTCATTATCCTTATTAACAGTATAAACATTTCTAATACTTATTACTGATACTGTAGTTGTGAAAATTCTCGTAGTTGATATCTCATGATACCTTGTGATATCTTTAGAGCTCCTTATGAATATGATTATTCTGACTAGTTTCACCGTCTCTCACACAGCCGGTTTGATTCCCTGCCCTTCTTTCCAAACGCTCCGCGCCTGCCCACCCCTGGGGCCGGCAATCTGCAGAAGCCCTGCAAACAACCTCAGCAGTATAGTATACAGCATAGTATACAGTATACTATAGTATGGCGCAGAAAAGCATAGCATAGCATGGTATAGTAAACTATAGTATGGTATACTATACAAGTTCCGTGTAGTGCAAAGAGCAGAAGCAAAGTTCGAGCAAAAGCAGTCCAAGGAGGCCTACTTGGAGCAAGTGGAGATGGGCCATGCTTGGCCGCTCTGCCACGACGCTCTTTCCGCCAAGTCTCCAGGTGGCGCCGCAGGTGCCCTGCGCTGAGATTGCACCGCAGTAGCAGGCCACAAGAGTACCCGCCTTGGTAGGATGGTGCATGAACAGCCTAGCTCACGCTCACTCGATTACGTCCTTCTCAGCTCTCAGTCAGCTCTGTCCCCAATCGTGCGGCACCTTCATTGGCCGTAGCGTCAATGCCTGGTTCGCCCCTGCGAAGGCGAAGTGGCCTTGGGCGCTTCCAGAAATGCTTCAATGTTGCACATGCATATGGGTAGTTCTCCAAATTGGGGTCCCTCTTTGTGTCCCCGATTTAGCACGGCACCCTTATGAAAAGGACCCTAAAATTTAAAGGGACCCTAATTTAGAAAACTACCCCGTTGTCAAGTTGCACCAGGGCACTGCTGAGGTCGGTGGCGCTGGCACGATGAGCAACGGCATCCTCTGCGCTTTGGAGACCTTCCTTCGAAGGGCACGATGTCTCAATCGGTGAATGTCTAAGCCTAAGGTGCCAGTCTAGTATGGCATAGTAGCGTATAGGATAGTAGAGTATAGTACAGTATAGTATTAGGTGTAGTATAGTATGCCGTGGTATGCCATGGTATGCTCCTTTCTGCCTACCTCATTCAAGCCGGGCATCCACCAAGGTCTGCGAAAAATCCCGTGTGCCGCACTCGCCATCCAAGGCGCTTTGAAGCTCGGCTTGGCCCTTGGTCCTCCGAGGAATGCCGGCGAGGCAGTATGATTATGATGGTGATGATGATGATGATTATGATGATTATGATTATTGCTGTTATTAGTGTTGCTACTATGGTTAATTACTATTATTATCATTAATATTAGTGTTGTTATTTTCGCTGCTACTATTATTATTACAGCATTTCTCATTACTACTATTCCTGTTGTCACGATCATTACTGTCTGTGCATCGCACAGCATTGGTGCCACACCGACGAACCCAGTCCTGACACCGTAGGCGTCCACTAGTGTCGCTCCTGCCGCTCCCACCTGCAAGCTGCTTCTTTCTTCCTGGCCTACTTGGGGTTTCCGAAAAGAGGGGACCCTAATATAGTACCCTAAATAGTAGGATCCTTATTATAAGGACCCCAAAGTAAGGTACCCCTTATTATTGGAAACCCCTACTTGGAAAGCTACCCGCTCTAACGGCTCCATGCGGCCTCATTGTCCAAGGAAAGAAACCTTAGCTCCAGACCGCGAAAGCGCTCCTTCTAGGGGCAGAAGCCATTTCGCCAGGACACTTCAGGAGGGCATCGCCTAGGCGAGTCACAGACTCTGAGACCTCTCCAATTTCCCATTTTTCAATCTCAGGTCCGCACCTTGAAATCTGTTTCCGTCGAAGCTGAGTGGGGTGGCACCAGATTTGATGCCGCTGAAAAGCGTGAAGCTACCTCCATAGAAAAACGGACATGACAGGCATGTTGCGCGATGCACCTCGCCTGGCTTGTCCACATACCGGATGGTTTCCGTTGGCACGGAGAAAGGTGACACACCCAGCCTTGGGGGAAGCTGTCCGGCTGGAACACGTGTGCGATTTGGAGCTTGAAGATACAAATAAGGTTTTGCCCTCTCACATGGCTAGGAGGATACGCACAAGCGAGGTCTGCTAGGGCCCAGGGCTTCAAGTTTCAGCGCTTGCACTCGGACAATCCAGGCGGGGCATGTGATGTCTGATCGGCTAGATGAAACTGGAAAGGCGGAGACAGAGAATCAGAACACAAAGGCTTAAAGTTTAGGGCTTTTTATTGCTATTTCCCTTAATAATTGCTAGCTTCTTGACTTCGGCCGAGCATCGTCCGGGCCGCCAGTGCATAAGCCAGGACCGTTTGCCTAGAGGCCAAGCCACGGCGGTGACGGCTTAGCGGCCCAGGGGCCGAAGAGTTGCTATAAGAAAATAGAATAAGGCCATTGGGCATCTAACTTTCTTCTTGATAGCTAAGGGCTACAAGGGAATGCAAAGGCAGACCCCTTTATGCCATTAAGAACTGGCTGTCGAAAGCTCTCGCCTCTTGATCCGAAGCCCGGAAAAGCCCGGAAGCTCACATTACCCAGAAGAACGCTTCACCTTACGAGAGCAACCAGTGCCACAATCTGCATGATCAACACCCACACCCTGTGCCACTATGCTTCCCAGTGTAGCTTCAGTGTAACCACGTCAAACACACGGTGATTGCGGTTCCCTATATCTGTCACACTTACCACCGGCCAGGGTGCACACTACCCACCTGAAGCCAGCTCTCTGCAGACTCGCAGTTCTGGTTGCCTCTGCTTGGAAACCAGAAACGCACATCAACAACACAGCATGGGTCACCTGTGATGCTCATGGCGTCGACGATTCTACTGCGAGAATCTCTTATCTTTGTGGGGTGGGCTCGGCTCCGCACACACCCGCAATATCTTCGTCTGCGGAGCCGAATATGTCACTTGCATACATCATCATACACAATTCACTGCCTTCCCCTTTCCCAAAACGTCAAACGAAAACGTTGTGGCAAAGCTGTTGCTGTGTGTCGAAAGACAGCACTTACCTCGAAAAATCCAGAGACACTGACAGGGACCTCTCTGTGTCTCTGATTGCAGCCTTGGGAATTGGGCACTTTGGTACCAGTCGCACGGCCCATGTCGTGGGCGTGATGCCGAGTCAACACAAAAACCGCGCACAAAAGGTGACCCGAGAGAACAAGGGAGTGCCTTCGCGGCAAGCCTGGGGCTCATCACACCACCCGGCAATCAGGTTCTGATTGCGTGCAGTGTGTTGTTTGGCTAGTCTGTGTATCATCTCTCAATACACCGCAATGCCACACACGTCGAACTCCCTAGCACTAGGTCAACGCAAACAGGCCATGCTGCAGTAGCAAACGACGAACGTGGTCTTCGGAGGCGCCGCGAACTGCACGCGGAAGGTCGACCACACCTCTGATCGACAACATGCCCACGATTTCAGGCGCTGACATCCCAACCACCACCACCTCTGCGACATCCGACCCTCATAGCTCCTGTGCGGTGAAGCGTCCTTGTAATCAACCCGGAAGCCGCCGTCCAGTGAGAGGCTGTCCCCCGGAGATGGCCACGCGACAGAAGAGGGCTCCTGCCTTGCCGAGGCGTGCCAACAAGGCGCTCGGCCTAACCCAGAGAGCCCAATACCCCTTAAACAAGGAATATAGCTCAAATTATAGGGGCCTTAATATTATGATTTAAGTTAAGGCATATTCCTTTACGACAGTAAGGGGTATTGGGCTCTCTGGGAAGAACCGCGCAGCGGCGAGGCTTCTTCCCGGCTCGGCCCAGGCACGGCCGCTGCTGGCAAGCGTTGTCTGTGCGCCAGGTAGGCCGCGGCGGAGCATCCCCGGCCTCCGCTCTCAGAATAAGAAGAGATCGAGGCAGCAAGCGCACCCTCAACTCTCTAAACCCTAAACCTTCCCAGCCTCCAGGAACTTGATCCGATTCAAGGTCCCGCTCAAACAGGCGCCCCCGGGTGGGCAAAAGATCCTGATTCCAGCTCTCTCTGCTCTTTCCTATCATGTAGGAACCTGATTAAAACCACCCTGGCCCTAGAGACCCAAAATTTTGGATCCATAAACAGAACAAAGCCGCAAGATTTCTGAATCAGGCTCGTCTTACGTATATTATCTGGCTTCTCTCTGCTCCCTGAGATGCCGCTTGCACCACGAACAAAGAGCTGGTGAGCAACGCAGCCACAAATTGCCAAAGGAACTGCGAATCCAAATTCTGCGCTCATTGCAACCATGCAGCTTTGTCACGAACCGCTGCTGGGGCACCACACGCAAGTAGGAGGTATCACCTCCATGCCGGAATCAATCGCAAAGGCTCCGCGCTGTCTCAGGAAAGAACTGAGAGAAGGAATCGGAAGGAATGCAAGCGGCAGGACGACATGCACTGGAGCAGAAGGTCAGTGCTTCTTCTAGAAAAGTCGCAACTTGAATCGTCGCGATCGCAAACGTGAATGACCCACCTGGGCAGAGAAACTTCCGCCACAAACCCCAAGATGTGCAGACGTCGGTCTCATCCAAGGCACATGTACAGGCGCCCGAAAGCTTGCACGAAGTCTTCTCTATCAGAGCAAGACCCCACCTTAGTGGAAATCAGCAGCTCCACGGCCCTGCCCCGCCTCGCTCTAAGGCAAAAGCATGGTCTGTTGCAAAGATACCAAGGGACAGAGCCGCAGTAGCACAGTGCCACGGTGAAAGGCGTGGTCACCTAGGTTTGCTTCTGTCGTGAAAAGCCATGTGAGCCGTCATACTATGCATAGCAGGAGGTCATCCCGCCAAGTTGCATCATCGCGCACAGCTGGTAGGCTGGCTGCAGGAAAGGCTGATGCCAGCTCCAGGGCAGCACCTAGAATGACCCGGCTGTAGCGCTCCGTGTGCCGAACAAGCCGACGCATTCTTTAGCAATTCTCTCCCGAAAGCACGTGAAGCTGCCTCAAAAGCAGACATGCACCAGTTGCTCAAAGCGCAATCAGACTCAACTCCAACACGTTCCTTCTTTTCGAGCGTCTCGACTGAAAAGATGTTGACGCCGCCTCTGGCGCACCACACCTTAAACGGCACAAGTCATGCGCGATCACCTTTGCAGTCAGATAGCACGTGCTTGGGGTTCTGCAGCTTACGGAAGCACGTCGAGACCTTCGACATGCTTGGGAACCTTACGTTCCAGACCCTTTCTGTTCAAAGGTTTCGTGCGGATGGGGCACTGCTGCGGGAAGTCCTGGAGAAGTGCGCCGCTGGCGACCAATGCATCTGCCCCGAAGTCGGCTGTCCAGCTCGCCTCAGCGACATGTTCCAAAGCCCCTCACACAAACTGCTACGATGGGACAAGCCAAGGCACACGGCTGAGAACTCCGGCAGTGAGGGTCCAGCCATTGCGACCAGTTGCTTCTGTGAAGTCGAGGAGGCAAGGGCCTGTGCCTCGGACGAGCACAATGATTTCCTCCTGTTGAAGCCCCATCCAAGGCCACCACCTGCTCCAGGCCGGAAGAAGCAGTCCCAGCGCTGCAATGCCAGGCAACCTGCAACGATAAGTGTCGCAGACTCGCGGTTTCTATGCAGACACTCTCCGCGCCTGTGGTGTTGCAAGGGCTGGCAACTCCACGTACGACCACGTCTGCGAACAAAATGCTGCCTGAGTCTGGAATTGGTTTTGTGAGAGCAGCTGGCTGGCCGTCTCGTCCAACACTTCTGTGCCAGCCCAGCTGCTGCTCGAGCTTCGGTCGCTGGTCGCGAAAGGGTTGCAGGACCCAAACGCAGTAAGCGCAGAGGGTGTGCAGGACTCCCCAGTGAGACTGCACGTACCTCAACTTTGAAGCAGGAAACACTACGAAGACGGGGGTGATCCCTCCCAACCGCCTTTCGGCCTGTTTCTGCACTGCAGGTTCTCACTTTGGCAGCACAGCCAGAGGTTCCAGCCAGCCCCCAGGCAACTCTCACCCTAAACCTCCGGGCTCGTTGCTGCTGGGAAGATGGACCCCAGACCCCGACCGTTGACACTAGCCCCGAAACCCCCCAATGCATGTCAAAGTCGCAGACACCAGCGCTGCAAACACAGTCGTTTTGGGCGTTCGGGGCGTAGCAAAGCTCGTAAACTCCGCCTGGAGCCCGGCCAGCAGGCGCAGGGCCGTGGACATGACAAAATGAAATGCCATCAACATAAATGTAGATACAATGTAAATGTTGATATAACCATACAATACAACTACCAGAAGTATGAAGATAACATAACATAAACCGAAATAAGAGTGCATTAGCCCATCAAAACAGAACAGACTGTGACAGGGTTGTAGTGTAGGGGCCCTCGCAAGTATTTATAATAGGTACCTTTCTGGGAACCATAAAGAGAAACCGAAGAGTTTTCCAAAGTGCCACCGAGACAAACAATAGGAAACAACAATTCGTGACATAACATAACAGAGACTGATTTTTCAAAGAAGTATCATGGTGTATAGTATAATACAACGGAAGTACATCATGGGTCAGAACATATTACAACATAACATAGCACAGGACAATAATAACACTAAACAACCACTACAGCATGACATAACTCAACAGCAGATAAACAGAGAATGAACGGCATTGCGGGCCCGATATTTTCCAGCTAACATGCAGTTTTCCAGCGCCTTCCACACACAAAGCAATTGATAAATTCGCAGTAGCATTTCTCAACTTATGCTTATGCAACCAGATTCTTACTGATTTGTGGCAAAGCCCAAAGTAAGAAAGCTTCAGGTATGCGGCCTGTAGGTTGTGTTTCCTGAACGTAGAACAAGATGAATGACATAAAATCAGGCACCTCAATACGACATAAAACAGCATAATGAAACCTAGTACAACATGATACCACAGAACAATTATGCACAACACAATACACCTGACACGACATAAAACAAACTGATGTCACATACTGCTATATTATGTTATGACACGCTATGATGTTTTATATGGCACGATGGTATGTTCCGTTATGCCATGGCATGCTATGCTATATCACAATGATAGCTTTTATGTTGTGGTATTCCACATTGCAAAAAAATAGTACATTCATGATGCTACCCTAAAGGCTATATTCTATTCTATGAGATTATGATATATTTCGTTCTAGTATAGCAAGGTACATATCGTACAATATAGTATGGAACAGAATACGGCACTACACTACATTGTACTTTTTTGACCCGCTACAAGGTATCATGTTATCTCATTGTTTACGATGCTACAGTCTACAACCTTATATTATGAAGTATTATAAAGCATTCTACTATTCTACTAGAGCATACGAAATGAAAAAAGACCTTGCTATATCGCCTTGTATTCTGCTAGTTCATGCTATGTCGTATTGCGCTTTTGCATATAGAAGCAATGCTATGTGCACATGTTTGTATATGTTTGTGGTTATGTGCATTTTTCATATGTATATGCACAAGTATGTACAGTTAATGTGTACACACAGATAGCCAGACAAATAATACACCGATAGGTGGACAAATATCCAGCTGCAGCCAGCTCGCTAGCTAGCTCGCGTGACAGGTAGGTAGGTAGGTAGGTAGGTAGGTAGGCAGGCAGGCAGGCAGGCAGGTAGGCAGGTAGGTAGGCAGGTCGGCAGGTAGGTAGGGAGGTACAGTCTGTAGATAGACAGACAGACTGACATGCAGACAGATACTAGACGGAAACCCAGCAAAGGCCCGAGATCCCAAGTCCTGCCTTGCATGAAGCTGAAGTTTTCCAGAGCTTCCAACCGATTATCTGTGAGCACCAGAGGCAAGGGCCAGCTCTGCCAGTCGCTGCTGGGAACCTCGGCCGTGAGGGCAGACCCCTTGGAGAGAGCACCTAGCTGTAGCCCGGCAGCTGCGACGTCTTGCAGCGTTTCTTCGCATTCCGATGGCCGTGTCCCATCCCTTGGACACGGGAGCGGTCACTTTTCGTGCTCGTGTGCCATCCACCAGGCCCAAAAAATCAGTGCCACTAAGCCTCTTAACCAGCTTGAGCATGGGCCGCTGGTGATTCTCCCTGCCCGGAGAGATGGGGAAGCCACTTCAAAAGGCTCAGCAAATTCTTGCATCTGCCGGCTGACTACCACGAGGCCTTCCTCCCTCTCCAGGCTGAGAGTTTCACAACTGATCACATTGCACTGGCCAACTGTAATGCTCACGATGATGTTGGCGATGATGGTGGTGACGGTGACGATGCTGGTGATGCTGGTGATGCTGGTGATGCATGCTGGTGAAGATGGTCACGATACGTTGCGATAGCAATTTCCGCGACATGGATGATATGGACCTTGCAGCAACTACAATGAAGGGGGCGATGGCGATGACGCCGTCGCCCAATGCCGATGCTAGTTAGACAGGTGACGAGAAAACCGACTCGTCGTCTCTAAATCACCACACGGGTTAGGCACCTCTCGAGCACCGGCGCAGACCGGCCCACGGGACAGGCGCTCCAGAGACCTGCATGGGCAGTTTGAATGTGCCGTCATCGGTATAAGCAGTGTGAGCTCCGGCTGATTGCTGCGACACAAGTCCTCCTGCTGAGTGGTGCCTGCCGTAGCAGCAGCAGCAGCAGCAGCAGCAGCAGCAGCAGCAGCAGGTGTGGTTTGTTGTAGCCGCAGCTGTAGCTGTAGCCGTGGGCTGTGGCTTAGCTGTAGCTGCAGCTGTAGCTCAGTCAGAGTTGTAGTTGCAGTTGCTGTTGTTGTTGCTGCTGCTTCTGCTGCTGTTGCTGTCGCTGTGCGGGTGGCGGAGGCCGTCGTAGAGGTAGTGGTCTAGAACAGCTCAGCAGCAGCAGGCACAGAACTGCACACTAAGAAGGTGGAGCAGAAGCAACAACAGCCAGCAGCAGGTGTGTTCGTCGTCATGCGTTGGTTTGCGAAGCTCTTTCTAACACTCGCGACTCCACCAGTGTGGGCGAGAGCATGGGGCTGCGAATTTGGAGGGTTTTGGTGTTTTAACGCTTTTATTTAACGTTGGGAGTTGAATAGGGGGACGGGTGATGTCAAGGTATCCGAAACCTAATGTGATTATTGTTTTTTCATACTAGTATTAATACTAATATTATTTTCAAGAATAAGACTAGTAGTCACAATCACAGTAATAACAATAACAATAATATCAATAGCGAATCATGGGTCTTGCTCCATCCCTCGGTTCAGAGCTCTTCTGCTGCAAGGCTTGGGATCCGAAGCCGTCCCTCCGAGGGCCTGCGCTGCTCGTCGTTGTAGCCCAGAGGCGCCTCTATCTTCAGAAACATACTGGATTACACGGTTTCGACTCTCACACTCGCACGCAGCAGGCAAGGCTCATGGTTCGAGGTTTAGGGTTTAGGGTTTAGGGTTTAGGGTTTTAGGGTTTAGGGTTTCTTTTTGAACAGTTTTCTGTACTGTACTATACTAGAATCGTAGTAACATGGGCTCTCAAAGGACCTGATACATGCATCGAGTTTGCGAGAGAGACGTTCCTTCCTTCCAGCTCTCGGCCTGACTCACTGACGTCTGCTGTTATGATGATCTCCAGGGCCCCCGTCATCGCAATGTATATCTGCATGCATACATACATACATACATACATACATACACACATACATACATACATTTCTACAAAAACCATGTGTATACAGACCTCTGTGTGTGTATATATATATACATGTACACATATGTCTTCTTCTGCATATGAGCAAGAGCGGTAAATTCTGAAGTCAGGGCTAGGCACAGGTCACTGGCCCGGCGCGGTGGCGCCGGGTCAACGAAAGCCAACAGCTGCGTCGCAGCAAGCGGCTCGCTGCCGTTGTAGATCCTTCAGGCTTGGGAGGACCCTGTAGTGTAGAAAAGTGTAGAAGATCTTATATAGCATAGGATAGTATAGCACCGTATCGTATAGCATGGTAAAGTATAGAAGCAGGTGTTGGAGATGCAGGAATGCTTCTCAAATACTTTCGAGTTTCATGAGCATGGACCAACGTCATTAATGCAAGGGAACCCAGCAAGATCCGACGGACGTCATAGCTGGACGTCGTCCTAAGCTCTTAAAGGCTTCCTGACAGGACGGCACTGACCAGGTTTCCCGCACAAATGTCGAAGCCGTGGCCTGCCAAACACACACACATAGACTCCGGAACGCAGGATCCCTTCCTCGTCCTATCCCTGCACCTGCAGAAACCACAAACCCTTCCGCCAGCTCCGAGCCCCCCCCCAAAACCCACCCCCCTAAAAACCACTCTTTGGGGCTATCCCGGGTGAAGGCCTCAGGGTGCCGGCCCCAAGCAGCAGCTGCCAGGAGAGGCGGATGGAGAGCCGAGCACCGGGGAGGGCCGAAAGCCCCTGCCTGAAGCATCGCAGCGGGTTTCGCAGGGTTTGGGCCCGGGGGGTCTTCGAAGAGCTGAGCACCTGCCTCTGAGTACAGACTTCACCGCCCTAGTACAGCCTGCTTCTTCTACTCTTTTTATGACAGCATGTGGTCGAGAGAAGCTGCTTGATATGACCTGTTGCTGCTGAAACTCTCCGTTGGGATCCATCGTGGAAGTGTTCAACAGGCCACTACCGCTACATGCGCACGTGACAGGCGGGGCGCTGTGTCATGGATGTTCTACCCTTCCTGCCAGGATACTCCTGTGTGCTTCCTTGCACTCGGCTCGCAATCAGCCTTCGTATGGAGGAGATGCCCTGCTCGCTGGCTAAGGTTATCTCATAGCCATCCTCCAGAGAGGGGCCCAGAAACAAGGTCGAGTTTTCATCGGCGGTTATGTGGAGCAGCAACTCCAGGTACGACGCATCGTGCATGTGGATCAACAGAGTGTAAGGTCCCAAGTCGGAGGCATTCCATTCCCTGCATTCGGCAGCGGGAACAATGATCTGCAGATCCGAGATGGTCAGCCCTGCGCTCGTTGTAATCCTCAGCGCCGGTAGAAGGTCGCCATGCCCCAGAATTGAGCCCGGAATTCCCCCCCTAATCCCCCTACCTACTGCAGGAACTTCCTTCAGACATGCCCCGCGCCTGGTGTAGATCAGCTCGGATTCGTTCCCGAACCTGAGGAAAGCACCGCTTGGCCAGTCCCATGCTGCACCTTCCGCGATCTCGTCCGCCCGCCGCATGGAGCATCGGCCCGAGTAGTTCAGGCACCACAGCGACAGCTGCCAGAAGACGAGGTGTCCTCGGCTCCAGAAGACTTGACGCCCTGAAAGCTTCCCAGCTCAAATCCTTGTACCCCTCAGCCGAGCATCTAAAGCGCCCTGGCGATGGGCCCTGCAGCATTGGCTCGGCCGTCAAAGCCTTGGCACCTCGTCCGGATCCCACGGCGGCATCACTCTCGGCTTCATGGCTCGGCGACGTGCACAGCGGCCTCAAGACAGCAATGTAAGTTGAGCTTAAAGGCGAGTGATTCCATTCCTGTCTCGGGTCACTTGTCGGCATGTCAAACTTGCGAAACGCTGACAGATCGGGTGCTGGTCGTTGGAAGCGTGTTTGGCAGATTCACTGGCTCCGTCCCCTTCGCCAAACAGTCGGGCGACTAGAACGTTGCCGATCACAACATCAGCGCAAGGTTACCAGAATTGGCAGCATCTACATCTTCGCACGCAGACAACACAACCTTTTGAAAAGGCCCGTGCTACTCTCATGGAAAGAGCAATGGAAGTGCACCGGGTAAGCGGCGCAACACCATGTCGGGCCGGAGTCCAGCTGACCGTACCTGCAAGCCATGAAAACTACGAAACTTTCCGGATCTCAATGAGTGGCAGTCCTGATCAAAAATCTCCTCGGCCAGCGACCACCGGCTGCTTTCAGCATAAACCTCGGATTTTGCGGGGACAATGACAGCAGCAGAGTCGACAGCTGCTCCCCCTGAGTTGAGCAAGATCTGCCACCACCGGCCTCAGGCTGCTGCGCTGGTGGCAGCACCATACACGAAGACATCAAGCTCGATGTGCTGCCTGAAGCAAAGCGCATCTTTCCTCACTTTGCCATGGTTTCGCTTGAGTTTGTGTAGGTAACTATACTATACTATACTATACTATACTATACTATACTATACTAACTATACTATACCATACTAAAGCATAGAATATAATATGATACTGTTTATGCCTATTGCTATATTTCTGCACCCTTGCGATGTTGAGCTTGAGCTTTGTCGTCGCATCATCTGCCGATGTCCGTTGTATTCCTGTTGGATGCCGACTAAGCCTACTATGGCTTGCAAATGTACCCCGGCTCTGCGCCTTGGAGGGCCGTAGAATCGACACAGAAACCGGAGATTAGGCATCCATGCCGGAGAGTGAAAAAGTCACAAAAGCTTACGAGAACGGCCAGCATCACCAAGGACTATGCCTCCGTGCCAGCGTCAAAGTGCCAATCCTGCGTCAAGGGCAGTTCAACAAGCCCTGGAACATGCCTTTCGTCAAGCTGGAATACTCTTCACATCCGCTACGGCTCAGACAGGATGCTATCCATCTCCGAGTTGCTGAACCATCGGGCTTGAGCCGTGCATCCCGCACTAGCCCGGTAAAATCTACCACACCGAGGGCCCGGCACACGTCTCCAGCTACGTTGTCGGCGATCTGTGGATACAGGCATTCGGGATTTGGTGCTTGACATTGGAGATCCTGAGCCTACAATAGAGAGTCTTCTGCCACCAGAAGTCCAGCTGAGCACACAACAAAACGCGCACGTGCGTTCTGTTGCCACAGTCTGCCGGTCCAAGGCAACGTCAAAGCGCATACAAACACAAGCAGTTCTTGATTTATGTTCACTCCTGCATGGATCAGATAGCCTGGAAACCCACAGACGCTGAAGAATCACAGCACCTCATGCCTACCAGTAGAGCTACCAGGCAGCTACCACAGAAGTCCCGGCAAGCACCGAAGCGATCAGCAGCCCTCAACGCCTGCCTCAACCCCAAACCCTAAAACCCTTAAACCATTGAAGCCCTGTAGACCCTAAGCTTTGACCCGCTTTGTTTAGCATCCACTGCAATGCACTAAGCTTTGACGCCTAAACCATCAACCCTCCAGAAGCGGCAGGTTCCTCTTGGCCTTCGGCCAGCTGCCGCATCAGAGCCTTGACATCTGCCCCAACGCCTGCCCAGTCATCAACCACAGAGAATTCATCATAGCTAGTAAGACTAATAATAAGAGGAAGAATGATAATGCAATATTCACAATAAAAAAAGACCCACAACAAAATGAATATTTAACACAAGTTGTGTTGCTGATGATGATGCTTCTGATGATAATGATGATTATTATTAATATTGCTACAACTACTACTGTTTTGTTATGATTAATATTAGCACTATTACTGCGTGTGCTATTATTCTTATTATCTTGACAGCCAGACTAATAGGAAAAACAATGGGAAGAAGAACAAATGTCATAATAATAATAATAACAATAATAATAATAATAATAGTAATAATAGTAATAATAATAATAATAAGAAGAAGAAGAAGAACTGTCATAATAGCAATAATGGTAACAATGGTAAAAATAATCTCTTAGTTAGTATAGTAACAAAGACGACGATGACGATGCTAATCAAGAACTGATACTCAAAAATTATCGTCATCATAACAAGAAGGAGCAGGATAAAACCAAGAATAGATAATTTTTATGCAAATAATACTCAGCATCTTAATAATGCTCATAACTATACGGGGAACCCTGCGGAACAACAGATGACTCAGGCGTCTGCAAAACAGCAGGGCCCGCTCCATGACGCAGAATTGTACGGGGAATTGTACTTGCCCTTCGCACCTTGGCGTCGCCGCTTGGCGGGGAGCTGCATTGCAAAGACACCCCCACCCAATACGGCAGTCTGTCACCGAGGCTGTCGTTCCAAGAACCTGTAGTTTCAGTGATCGAGCGGAATTCAAAGCCTGTCTTGCTGCCATGGCTTGGGTCCGCAAGATTTTGGAAGTGTTTGCAAGGGTCGGCTTCTTCAGGATTGTCCAGCTTGGGCCATCGTGGCACAAGGCCAGAGCTGCAACTCCAAGCACGGGGAGTTGGGCAGAAAGCCGGTCGGGTGACGGAGTGGCATCGAAAAATTCAGGCATTGCCGCACGTTTTATGCCTTCCACACATCATCCGGCGAACAGTCATGAGCAGCTACCCATCATGATTTCGCCCTAAACAGCTAGAAGCTCCTGCATTCCGCAGCATCTCCTGCTCCTTCTTCCTCTTACCCTGTTACTTGTGCATAATCTGTGGGTACAGGGCCTAAAGCAACGAGCTACCCGGTGGACAGCATGTCTGCACAGAAAGCCTAAATGAGAAATGGAAGCCTAGTCGGCCAGGCACACCTAGTGTGACTGATAGGTGAGCCTTGCAGAAACATCTCCGATTGGCAAAAGCAGCTTGCCCGGCAAAGCTCATGTTTTCTGGGGCTTCACCTTGGCAAATCGTCGTGGTCGACCATCAGTTCACGAGCAAATCAGAGAATCAGAGCTTGTTGATTCAGAGTGCCTCCGACATGGAGTCGTTGCACCGACCGGGGGGCAAACACTCTGCCATCTCTTCTTCTCATCTTTCTTGTAGAAGCCTGCAATCGTTGTGGGTCTGAAGCTCAAACTAGGTGTTCGATGTCCATCTGGAAACAAAGGCCCAGGCTGATCGTGATGCGCCCCTTGGCGCGATCCACCTGTGTGAGTACTTCTGAACTAACCGCGGCGAAACCAGCGCGAAAGCTAGCGAAAGCATGACCTTGTAGGTGCACTTCTCCACTACGAGGTCCGACTCTCCAACCTGTCGCATCGTTGCATCGGGCAGGAATTCTTCCTGCCGGAGAAACTTGGGCCACTACCAATGTCAGTGCACGGCGCTCCACTGCCAAGCCGTCACTGCCGGGCACAGCCACACGAATCGAGCAGCTCCTGGCGAGAAAGATGAATGCCAGAAAATGACGGCATCGTGACAGGCCAACATCAGCCCCCAGTACAAGGCAAAGCCCTGGCACACGGCCGTCCTCTCGAAGAATGAGACAACCACAGCAGCCTTGCCCGGGATGGCAGCCAAACTTAGACTCCCATTGCGGTTGTGGCAAAGGCACTAGGCAGCTGCAATGGTTGGCACATACTGGGAAGTGCAAGGTCATGTAGAAGCTTGCATTGCACACTCTTTAATTAATAATCCATATATATATATATACATACATATATATATATATACATATACATATACATACACATGTACATACATATACGCATAGACAGATAGGTAGATAGATAGATCGAGAGGTAGATAAATGGATAAATAAATGGCCCTGCCTCGTGAGTTGTGGAAACTCCTTCTTCCGAGGTCTGTCTCTCCAGCACGTCCTTCTCAACGTCCACGTACACCTGCCCCCATTTTAGGAGAGGAGCTTTTTGTCTGCCGGCTTCTCGGCGGCTTCTTGGAAACCTCGCCGGGATTCGCCCTGATCCCTGATCAGTATATGGTAAACTGAGGTGATGGCGCCCGTAACACGCCCTGCGTTTAAGCCACTTTTTTCAAGTTGCATGGATACTTTTCCTGTTTGGGTGGGGGGTGGGGGGGATAGGAACGTCATATTCATATTGCGTCCATGCCCAAAACACTGGTATCTACAGCATTTGTGCTGCTTTGTACAACATACTGCGCAAGGATGTGGAGGAAGAAACGATGTCACAAGCATCCATGCCTGTGGCGACCATGCCCAAAAAGCTGGTATTTACAGTAATATTGCCTTGTTATCCTTTTTGTAAAACACACTATGCGAGGATGTAGAACAAGACACGTTGTCACAAGCGTACATTTCTTGGTCGGCCTCAGCAGGAAGTGTAAGGCTTGACAAAGTTTCGCTCGGAGTCTGTGCGGAAACGCTGCCGCTGTCTAGGTTTTCGCACTGTCAACCTCTAAAAATACGGGAGTTCCTGTAAATTGTGCCTTTTCCCGGTGTTTTTGGCAACGTGCAACAACAAGGTATATGCAAAAATGCAAGGCGCATTGCTGGCGCCGTTACCTAAACTGAGCCAACTAAGGGCCCGAAGCATGCGAGCCCAAGATACCTTCAAACCGGAAACCGGCTCTGAACTAGCACTAGTTCTGCTGATAGGGATCCTGAATCTAGGAATCTAGCGGTCATGATCTCAGGCGAAGATCACCAGCCCCAGTCGAGCATTTTTGTTAGCTGCTCTCGGCGCCAGCCTCCTCGGGGAAGCCGCAGGTTACAACCGATCCATCTGCTAAGATTGCAGCAAAAGCACGCTTGGAAGCCTGAATCTGCTGCACATGCAGCAGCCTATCTTTGAGAGCGCTGCAGTCGCCCCCGTAGCCTGCATCGCCCCAGGTTACCATGCGTCCATCTCGAAGCAGAGCAGCAAAGGCTCGCTCAGACGCCTGGATCTGCTGCACATCGCATAGCAGGTGCTGGACAGCACTGCTGTCGCCCCCGGCCCCAGGCGATCCCCAGGTAACGACAGATCCATCGCCACAAATGGCGGCGAAGGCCTGGCTCGATGCTTGCACGTGCCGCACATCTCTCAGCTGAGCTTGCAGATCACCTGATAACACTCCGACCGGACCCCAGCCCACCACCCGTCCATCATGCCGGATGGCCGCAAAAGAGTTCTGGCATGCTTGGATCTGCCGTACACCTAGCAGCTGTTGCTGAACAGCCCGGAACTGCTCTTGCACTAGGTCTCTGCTGATCTTGTGGTACCCCCACGTCACCACAGATCCATCAACGAGAATGGCAGCAAACGCTGTTTCCGATGCTTGAATGTGTTCGACATTTTTCAAAAGTGTCTGGACAGAAGTGCTGTCCCCTCCATGGTCGGCACAACCCCAAGTGACAACGGATCCATCATACCGGATTGCGGCAAATGCTCTGCCTGACGCTTGGATCTGTCGCACTTGTGCAAGCAGCTGCCGCACTGCAGCGCTGTCCCCGCCATAGTCTGGATGACCCCAAGTGGTCA